CTTAAGTAAAACAAAAAAAAAGTTGAATTAATTAATCATTAAAAAAATCATTTTAAATATTTTGAAAATATAAAAAGAGAAAAAAAAGAGAAGGAAAAGATAAAAATATACAATTAACGATTGAATATTTAAATATTACATAAAAATAAGTATTTTATTAAATGTTTAGCTTTTGTATTAAATTTATTGGAGAAAAGTTTTTTAAAAAAATTATTGATAGTTCTAAAAATGATAATATAATTTTTTTTTTAATTGTCATTTTCAAATTTAATACCTCGTTGAAAAGATTTTCAATAACATTACTGGATAATCCATGATGTACGAATGCAGCATACTGTACTTCAGCAAGACCTAATGCACCATCACCATCCAAATCAACACTTTTATCTACCGGTGGTAATTGTCCGGTAATTCCGATAGCGGATGAATCACCAACAGAAGGATTTACTTGTGATGATTCTGTTGAGGTGAATTGATCTGAAATTGGATGATGTATATAAGTTATCAATAATTGCAATGATATTATAACTTAATTTTAAAAGATAAGTTTTAATCTAATATTTTATATTCGATATTTTTTGTTTGGAAATAAAAAAGAAATTTTAGTGAGAATTAAGATAAAAAAGATAAAGATTAATATTTGAAATTAAAATTAAGTGTGAAACGAAAAGCGTGCAAAAATTTTAATGTATGCTTTTGTAAATAGTCATTACAAAAGTAAATTGAAATTTTGAAGTTTTAACACAGATAATATTTAATTTCAATTATTCCTTATAAATTTATTTATCAAATTTGTAACAACATTTCAAATTTATTTGCTCTTCCTTTTTTTTTATCGTTTTTATTTTAAAATAATTTCTATCTATTAAAATTTTTTATCTCTTTATCAATTTGAAAGATTCTCAGCATTTAAAAATTTTCGTCTAAATTTCATTTCACTATTACGTTCGTTTATTTTATTGTTCCCCATACATTTATTCATACTTTTTTTTTTTGAATATAAATGACGAATTTTTTTTCTGCCAACATTTCATTATTTGAAGTCTTTTTCTCCGGTTGATATCAATTTTTCGGTCGAAATTTTTAACAATTTATAAAGGGACGGCAAAGATATGAAATAAAAAAGAGTTAAGTAGCAAATGTTGAACGAAATGACAAATTCCACTTTTTCGTCCTACATTCTTTTTATTTTTGTTTTTTTCATTTCTTATTCCTACCCGAAAAAAAAAGAGGACAGAGGAAAGACGAAAGATAGAGTGATTTGATTTGAGCGTAAACGAAATTTCCAGTAGATCATTTAAAAATTTTAATGTGAAATTTCTTATGCTCGATAAATTCAAATTAAAATTTTCAATTTCATATATGCGGAATAGAAAATATTTACTTGATCGATTAGATATGATTAGTTAGTGTGCAATATTTGAATCATTTGGCAACCTTTTTCAATTTAAACTTTTTTTTTTTGTTTAATCTTCAAATTTTGATGACAATTGAAATGTTTGTTAGTGAAATGAAGAAAAAAAAAGAGATGTAAAGATAACATATTGCATACAAGACTTCATGATTTAAAGATTTTGTTAATTAATTAAAATAAATGTACTTTGCTGAATTCGTCGTAGTGCTTCCATACGAGCCATCATTGATGCTTGAACTGAAAATAATATTTATCCATCTATTAAAGCTGAAAATTTGTCAAGAATTTATTTGATGCTCATAATTTTAACATTTTTGCTTCTTTGGAATATTAAATTTTTTAAAACTTTAAATATTTCTAGCTCTAACGAAATATAACCAATGATGAATCAAAAGAAGATAAATCATGAACAAAAATAAAAATGAATGCTTCAATTTTAATTATTTGCAAGAAATTTAACTGAACAAAGATTTGCATTGTCAAATTTTAATTCTAAAAGAAAAAGTTAGTGGAGGCTGTGACAAAATTTTGATTTTTATTTTTGTTTATAAAAATTAAGAATTACTTTAGTAATTTTGAATCTTGAAGGTTAAATTTAGGACTTCTTGCAAAATTTTGATCCTCAAATTTTGATCTTGTATGGGTTATTTTATAAATAAAAATAAAGTTCAAAAGTTACTTTATAATTTCCGAGAATGATGTTTGAAAAGTTAATTTATAAATTAATGAGGGATCATTTAAAGTTCAAGAGAAAATGATTCATAATGTGTTTCTGAATTTTCTCCATCATTAATGTATTATTTTACATTGTAATTGGATCGTTCAAAAATTCCGAAACGGATTTTAAAATAATTATTGGAGAATGAAAAAAAAGACGGAATCATTTGTAAGGATATTTTTTTCCTGTTCAAACAAGAAATGGATTAGATGAGAGATGACCCGATTGATCACTATTGATTTGTTTTGCTGGACGAAAATTTGATGGCAATCGTTGCTGTTGTTGTTGTTGTTGTTGTTGATGATGTTGTTGTTGTTGATGTTGATGTTGTTGTTGATGTTGTTGTTGATGTTGTTGTTGTTGATGTTGTTGTTGATGTTGTTGTTGTTGATGTTGTGGTGATGATGTTACTGCCGCGGTTGTATCTGAAGGATTCATACAATCATTAATTAAAAATATTGATAACTTGACAATCTTTTTAAATTTAAATTTTAATTTTAACTCCAAAAATAATCATCAGTTAAATAATGATTTCAATAGGCAATTTTTTACTAGCAATTATAACTTAATTTAAAATTTTTTTCACAATTTTAATATAGCATTTATTTTTAAATGATTTTATTATTTAGTGATTCCCGGAATTACGCATGTTAACAAACTGATTTATTTTTTCTTTTTTTTTTTTTTAAATAAAAGCAATCCAAGAATGAAAAAACTTGATTTTTTTTCTCAAATCAAAATCAAAAAAAATTAATTATCAAAAATAGTTATCAAATTTTTAAATAAAGAAAATAAAATTAATTAACAAAAAAATGATTACCCAATGCATGTCGGTTATCATGAAGTATTGCATAAGTTCCGCCTAATAATAGCAAGAAATGAAAGAATAAATTTAGCATTCTGCTGCAAATATTCTATCCATTAAATTTGTAATTTAAAATGACAAAAGAATTGCAACCTTCGTTATTATTAGCGAATTTATCAAATAATTTTATACATGACATATTATTTAAATAACAATGATTAAAATATTGAATTAATGATAAGAAAGGAATGATAAAAATTATCGTATTATTTGCAATTATTCATTATCAATAATAATTAAAATTTCATCATATCACATTGTGTATCAATAATAGTTGCAAAAATTTAAATCAAATTTTGTTTTGCAAATGTTATCAAATATTTAATTATTGTAATTGAATGAAGTAAAATAGTCAAAATAACAGTAAATGTAAATGATAAGAATATGATAGAAAGGATACTAATGATTGAAATGATATATGCATGGTCTGCAAAATCAGACGATAGATACTATTATTGAAGGAGTTTATCGACCTTTGATAAGAACAAGAAGGTCACCAACACAGCATACATATATCAATAGTAATAGTAGTAGTAATAGCAATACAATAATCATTTGTGCAAATATCACATCATATTAATCAATTTTAATTTCATTCCTCCTATAAATTTTTGTTTATTCGATGTTTTTATTTTAAATGTATAATTTAATAAAATTTTTTTTTTTTTTAAATGAAGCACTGATTTTATTTTTTTTAATCTTATACATTAAGTAACCTATAAAATACTATAATTATAATTAGGAACTAATTAATCGATATTTTTATTTCTAATTATTGGATATAAAAGGAAACTTAAAATCAATTAGAATTTAAAAAATGGAAAATATTTTGCTGATAATTCATGCATGTAACGCATATAGATAACTAAAATACTGAAGTTTATATCTAAAATATATCTGAATATCGCCTAAAGGTATGTTATTGGAAATACACATATTGGCATTAGTTTTGCTCGTTTTAAAAACGGTTTCTTAATTGTTGTGATAGTTTTTAAGAATGTTTGTTGACGGGAAATATTAGAAATGAAATTAAAATGCAAAGTAATTTTATAATAATAATAATGATAATCATAATAATGATAATAATAATAATGATAACAATAATGATAATAATAATAATGATAATAATAATAATGA